CAGCGCCTGCCGCGCTCGGAGGTGGGAGTTTGCGGAGCAGGTTGGCCCCAGGTGCCAGAGGCCGCCTTTTGGTGTCAGTAATGTTATTAGAAATAGGGAAGATTTAGGGAGGAAATGGACTTGACGACGGACATCGGATGAGCTTAACGTACTTCAGCTAAGAACTGGCTTTTCTGAAAGTGCCCCTTATGTAGCGGTAGGAAATAGTGATTTTCTTTGTCATAGAATCATAGAATCGTTTAGGTTGGAAAAGACCTTTAAGATCATCCAGTCCAACCATTAACCTACACTACCAAGTCCACACTAAACCAATTAAGGGTAGACTAGACTAAACCATGTCCCAAAGTGCCACGTCTACCTGTTTTTTTGAACGCTTCCAGGGATGGTGACTCCACCACCTCTCTGGGCAGCCTGTTCCAATGCTTGACTACCCTTTCCGTGAAGAAATTTTTCCTAATATCCAGCCTAAACCTCCCCTGGCGCAGCTTGAGCCCATTTCCTGTCATCCTATCGCTAACTACTTGGGAGAAGAGACCAACACCCACCTCACTACAACCTCCTTTCAGGTAGCTGTAGAGAGCAATAAGATCTCACCCTCTTCTCCAGGCTAAACCACCCCAGTTCCTTCAGCTGCTCCTCATAAGGCCTGTGCTCCAGATCCTTCACCAGCCTTGTTGCCCTTCTCTGAACACGCTCCAGCACCTCAATGTCTTTCTTGTATTGAGGGGCCCAAAACTGGACACAGTATTTGAGGTGTGGCCTCACCAGCGCCGAGTACAGGGGGACAATCACCTCCCTGCTCCTGCTGGCCACACTATTCCTGATACAAGCCAGGATGCTGTTGGCCTTGTTGGCCACCTGGGCACACTGCTGGCTCTAAAGGAGGTATTCAAAATACCCTACTCTGGACCACAGAATAAAAAGCTTTGTAAAAAAGCTGTAGATGTTCGGGGGTTATGTGAACTTGGTTTAAAACCTGTAACTTCATGACAATTTTAAATGATGTTAAACTGCTAATCATACTTTTACAACAGATTAATTATGTCTGTCAGGGGGATGACAAATATTATTAAAAGCCTTGGCTTGTTTTTCAGTTAATATATTCCTCCACTAGATCAGTTTTTAATGCCTGCATGTTTAAGAACAAGTGCTAGAACTTAGACTAGTGATAGTGCATCTTTACATCGGGTTATCCTTGCTGACTACACTTGTTAAATTTCCTACTTGTCACAGAACTTAGAACTGTCTAAAGCATACTGGTAAATCTTCACTTCAGGCACATTATTTCAGCTGGGCTCTTTTGAAACTCCGAGTTTATTCTACAGTTAAAGTTTTTTATGTCTTTTTTTTTCTTTCTTTCTGTCTTTCTTACATTCTCCTAGTGACTGCTACTATTATTAGAGGCTGTATGTGAACTTCTGTATGCAAGTTCTACAAAATGTATACTTTTCATCTTTTATTTCAGTATTCTAGAATTTGTTGCACAAATTTACCTTGGCTTATTGATCTTGCGTTAAGAAAGCATGTAAGTGAATACTTGCATCAAAGTACATTAAAGAATATTTTCAGAAGTGTCAGTACATCAGAAGTGATTGTATATGATTCTCTGTTTGCATGTCCATAGTATAGTGAGGCCCCCTTCACTTTTATAATACTGACTCTTTAGGTACAGCAATAATGAAAATAAGTAGGGTGTTAAAATTCATTCCCAGTGGATTCTTTTAGGCTGGTATTTTCGTGTTTGTTACTCGGGTACTGCTAGGTACTGTCAGCTGATCATTTAAAATGTTTGACAATATACTTTAGTGTTGGGTATGTCATGTGCTTATTTTAACAACAACAACAAAAAAAGCAAAATGAAAACTTTGCCTATTCCAAAGGTTGAAAAAGGACATCAGCTTTTTTTAATGCTTAATCCTCCAGGGTGTAGAAGTTTTTATTGCCCACCGCATAGTTTTTACACTAGTGAAATATTTAACTTAAAGAAAATTCAAAATGTGTAAACTTGTGGTTTTAGTAGAGCTTGTCTGGCAATGAAAGTAACAACTTTCTGTTGCTTTTTGTTATTAATTGAAAAAAAAAAAGTGTTAAGTAATACTTTCCCAAACTTCTGAAAAAAGTGGAGGGGGGATTTAATGTATTAATATTGACTAGGCAGCTATTGAACCTCTGAACAGAAGTTTTATTATGGAAGTCTTGGCATCTCTTGGCATCAAGTACCATGTAATCTGACTCTGTTATTGCTAACACCTATATGACAAACAATTGTTTGCCTGTTTTATGATGAGCTTTCTGTGACATTGGGTTGCAAAACAGAAAAAAATCTAAGGCTTAAGACCTATGTAGTATTAAAAGCTAAATGTTTGCTAATTTATGTGACTACTTCTACAACTTACACACAGAAAAAGAGGTTTACAAAAATGGTCAGAAAATCCCATGCAGTTAGTTCTGCTGTTTATAGTTGTAGTACTTGCAAAGTTTCAAGAAACTGATTGTTTTTCATGCTAATGAAAAGAGATTTCAGAGGTTTTTCACGTAAGCTATCAGAATTCACATTACCACAAATTCCAGCTGCTGTTAAAAATTAAGAAAAGGGGAAAAAAAAGTGGAGGGGGGTACAGAGGGAACAAAATGGCATATTTGCAATACGCCAGTTAAAGCAAGACATCATGACAGAACTGAAACATATAGCTTTCACCATGAAAAATATGGAAAACCTCAAACCTGTACCCAGAAAACCACATTCCACAACTTAGCAGCAAGTAAGGAAAGCATTTAGACTGGAAGGAGATGAATAGCGTAAACTGAACGTAGAAGGAATAGCTGGATTACACTGAAGACTTTGTTTAAGGAAGTATTGTGTAAGGAAAAGCATAACTGTGTCTTTCTCAAGTTAACTTTGACACGTTTCAGAAATTCTTTCAGAGAAGAGCTGGCTGCTTGGCAGTTATTAAGAAATTAAAACCACCTCTCATTCCCTTCCCCCTCTTCTAAAAAGCATGAAAGAAAAGCACGTAAGCTCTGTTTGTATTGCACAAGTGACTTCACAGGACAATAAACTTGGAACTGTTCAATTCAATCCAAGCTACAGTACAGCAAAACTGTAGTTCATCTATTTAGATTGGTGTCAGATAACATAGCTATGCTGGAAACCTTATTTTGAACTTCCTGTATGTAAAATCCTACTGTTGATCCATGTGGAAAGGGTATTGTGAAGGATCAGTAACATTAAAGGCAATCACATGGGATTATGTTATGCAAACTAAAACATTTAGTCTTTAAAAATTACTTAATTGAAGGAATCATTTCAAGATTGTTTGAGTTCAAATGGTTGATTTGATAAGCATTGTGAACAAAACCTGAATCGATAGCTGTTGATGTCACTTCTGGACTTAGAAAACAGCAGTTAATAGCTTGGTAGATGGATGTGTTGTGATAAATAGCATATGCTCATATCTTTGTAAGGAGTTTTAAAACTAATATTTTAAAATCTTATTTTTAATATGTAGCAAATCCTTGTTTTGCAACACTTAGCTTATCTTAGCTACATAGTCAGAGACAGAATGGAATGCGTAATAGGAGGACCTTCCTTCCCCTAGATGTATATTTGAATACTCTGTGTCATGGACTATGTCTCTGAAACTTGCATCTTAATATGTGTAGGTATAGACATGAAAAGGAATGCTAACAGTAAGTAAAGGAGATTCTAGAGGGCAACATTTTCATTTGAGTTTTCAGGAAAATAAGGCCGAGCTGAATCACCTCATAGTGAAATGAATGCTGCTGCTAATGTGAGCAAGGGGACTGTTATACCTAGTTGAAGTAGAGACTTTTGGTAGCCCAGTTTAGATGTTTTACTCCTCATTCTGGGGTAGCATCTAAAATCCTGGAATTTGTAAGTGTTGCGAATTGAAGACTATGTGCTTATAGGAATACCATTCAGCCAATGTGGAGTAGTGATTTGGGTTATAAAAAAAAAAAAATGCTCCCCATATGCAAAGACCTTTAGGACAGAAGAACTGTAAGGAAATAATCTAGACTTGTACATCACATTGACTTTCTGATGGCTAGTGCAGCTATTAAGAAAGTTCTAGGTTTTTGTTTCCAGCTTTGCCATCCACTGGCTGCAAGACTTCTTGGTTTTAGTTTCCCTTTGCTAGCTTTACTTGTTAATTTGTAAATGCTTTATGAGTGTTCAACTTTCAGCACAGGCTGAGAGTGAAGACCTAGCTAAATGAAATGTTAGTTTGAATTTTAAATGCCATCAGAACTTAAATAGTACTAGTAGGCTTCTAGACAGGTACCTAGATAACAGAAGGAACGCAGATACAGGGTTTAGCATTTTGTTATTTTTATCTGTGGCAGCCCAATACAAGATATAACTCAGAAGTACATAGTTCAGATGTAGTATCCTAAGTAATAGAACAAATCATGGAATGTCTGTCAGGAAATTGGATCCTTCTAGGCAGCTTGGCCAAACAGAACATATACTTGCCTTCCATAATTTTACATACAAGAAATTGGAAGGACTTTGCTTGGACTGAAAGGACCTCTGATCGATGATTTTAAAAATTGGAATAACTTAGACATTCAGAGGAGTAAGGCTTTCTACACTTTAACCCAACAGAATGCATTAAAAAGAAGCTTTGAGACGTCATGAGTAGTATGGTTAATTGAGTATATACTTATCAGGCATATCTGCTTTTACAGAATTCTGTTTAACAGCGGTCATTAACTAAAATCATGGCAACTGCCAGTAATGAGGTGCACCATCCTGTAGATCCTGGAATCTCAAAGCTGCAGTTTGCTCCCTTCAGTAGTGCCTTGGATGCAGGATTCTGGCATGAACTAACCCAGAAGAAACTCAATGAGTACCGATTAGATGAGACCCCAAAAGTTATCAAAGGATACTACTACAATGGTAGGTAGAAACTGAACATCTTGCTTAGTAGTTTGGGTTTCTCCTGTCATTCCTCTAAGTATTTGTGTAACATATTTTAGGTATTTTGCTGCAACATTAGGAAACACAGCTGGGTGAGCTGTGAATTCTGGTGTGTCTGTGGGTAATTTATAACTGACATTAGCAAAAAGAGGCAAATTAATCTATGTATTGCAGTTTAAAAGAAGCATGTTGCTGCTTTTTGTCCAGGTGATCCTTTGGGTTTGCCAGCTCGCTTGACATTGGAGTTTAGTGCCTTTGATATGTAAGTATGTACTGTGGTTTACCTTAATTCATATGTGAAGACACTTTCCTTGTATAACAGTAACGCTTTGGTATATAATATTACTTGGACAAATTCCACATGAAAATAAATACGCATTTTCATGAACTTTGTAATAGTGGAGAGACTGCTTTGAGTCAAAAACATTAACTCTCTGTGTCTGAAGTAGCTTATTATTCTGAAGGGCCAAGTTTAAAATATGCTGGTAAGTCTCAGATTCACTCACTGTTTGTATATATGTTTATATAAAATATAATCTTTTTCTATTTCTTTGGCTCTTCTGTGCAAGGGAGGATATTTCAGTCATCTGACTTCTGGTCAAATTTTTCCTTACATCTTTATTTACTGAGGATTCATTGTTAGAATTAGGAGCTCAAAAAAGTTTTTACAGTCCCTAGTTGTAACATTGTAATATCTTCCAAAGTATTTAAACTTTATGACTGGAATTTTGTACTTTTGCCTTTACCCCCAAAGTGCAAGGTAGACCAAAGCTTCTCAGCGTACGCAGCAAAAATGAGATGAGAGGGGAAATATTTTTTCCACATGGTTTTCAATTCCAGCAAATGCCTAAGTTAGTAGAACTAACATAAGAACAGATGTCTTCGTAGTTAGTGTCTTGTTTGTTTTAAATCGGTGGATTACAAACTTGTAAATCACAGAAGTGACTTTCTCTGCCTTGGTTGGTGAGAATGTTAGGAGCCTGGTGAGGCTTTGTGCGTTTTGAGGTAATTTCATCAGACATATTATTCCACTAGCTCTTATGTAAGAACCTTTAGGCATGATACTGAAAGCATATGCAGCAAAGTGCAATTGGAAGAAAGCTGTGATATTTGGAACAGGAATTTCAGATTAGGAAAAAATGGATGGTACCAAGGTATCTGATCTCTCAAATGTTATGACAAAACTATGAAAGGTCCATCTGTGCAGTGCTTAATTATTCCTTCTGCTGCAGTAATTTCCTGTGCTTCTGTTCCTGTACTTTAGTAGTCAGTTTAGATGATCATGAAGAGTTCCCTTTTAGCTTTAAACATTTTTGGAAACTACATCATGTGTATTTATTATGTACCTTAAGCATTTGCTGTGTTTGAGTTCTAGCAGTGATCAGAAACGTAACAATTTGAGAGAACAATGTTAAAGGAGTCAATGAAATAAATCAGGGAATATTGTAGGGTTTTTTTACTTAATTTAGATTCAAAAAGGGGGAAAAATACATACTGTTGCTTACAAACAGCAGCTTCTCCAGCTGATGATATTAGAAAGTATAAAAGCTACTCAATCTTTTCTCTGGTTTAGGCTTCCTTTTGGATGTCTTTTAAACATAAAATTTTAATTGAGTGACTCTATGTGAATGAAATATTGACATCTAAAGTTCAGTCTAAATTTTTTCTTAGTGAAAATCACATTTGTCATGGAGAGTTTATATTTGAATAGAATTTTAAAATCTTCAATCTATGATGTAATGCACCTTACTAGAGATATTACAGATGCCTAATGTATTTTTGAAGTCTTAATACAGATGTGTATCTGCACAGTTTCTTATACCAATCCATGTTCAATAAAGCATTTTGATCACAAAAACGTTTTTGTTAGAACTGTGTTAACTTTTAGTATGGTGCCTCGTCATTTGACAATTTTAGGGCAACCTTGCATCATAGAATAGCTACTGCTACTACTGCTGATCATGTTACAGGTGTTAGTATCCGGTTCCCAGAGGTTTCTTTCCTTTATTCAGGAATGCTTCAATACCAGCACGTTGCTGTCCTGCTTTCGGAACATTGTATAATACCAACACTTTTGAGACTTTCAAGTCCTGTGATAAGAAATCACTTCTGGAAAAAGAAGCAAATGAGGTAAGATTAAAAATCAAATCAACTTGTAGACAGAAAGGGTTTTGAAATAGCCAGTGAAGTGCTTTATACTCTCTGCCCCAAATATTGGCGATACTGTCCATACTCACCCATATAGTAGCCTCAGGTTTTAACTTTTAACTCAGGATTTAACTTTAACTCTGGAAGGAATAGAACAGAATATTTCAGTTGGGAGGGACCTGCAACGATCACCTAGTCCAGGTGCCTGACCACTTCAGGGCTGACCAAAAGTTAAAGCATATTATTAAGGGCATTGTCCCAATGCCTCTTCAACACTGACATGTTTGATCTTTGCTTATTACTGTTCTTTGCAAGAGAGTAGAAACTAGCTAATTATACTTGGAGGACTTCGTTCAGTGTTCTGCTAGGCCACATTTTAAGCTTAACAGTGCTATTGGAGCTGCCAGTGACTTGAGTTCTGTAGACATTTTTAAAATTTGTCTTGACACACAGAAACCAGTAACTGCCTGGTTTACACTTTAGATTATTGCAATACATCTGTGTGACAAAGTGATGGGGAAGCTCCAGAACAGCCAGAAGGCTGAGATAAAGCAAGAAAAAGATGGCTGTCAAAGGAAGAGGCTAGTCTGCTCGCACTGTAACTAAATTAAATGTCGTGGCTTGGGGAGAAGTGAAAATCAAACTAAGACAACCTTTTTCTTTTTGAGACGCTCCACTTTGACTAGTCCTTGATTCCTTTAATTAGATTGATTGTCTGCCTGCTGACCTTAAGTAGCAATGTTTTCATGCATATCTTCACTCAAAGCTATGGATTTTATGTGTTCCTGTGGCCTAGTACTTCCCTGCCAGTGGTAGGTATGATGCAGTATCTATCTTTAGGGAAACTGGGAATGTCAGAATGCTTTATTTGCTCTTGGGGTTTTTTTGTTTGTTTTTTATTAAGACAAAGATCAAACAGGTCTGCTTTATACAAGTATTGTAGCGTCTTTTCTCACCAACATGCAGTGTACTGCCTTCTTGAATGTCTCCATTTTTTTGGTCAAATTTCCTAGTAGCTTATTCACATATCTAGAATCTATAGATCCCATGAATGAAAAAGATGAGAGTGCAATAAAAGGCTATATTAGTATCACAGTATGTTCCATATTGTCCTAGTGTTAATAGTTCATATACATGAGGGACTGTTGCTGATGAGATTTCTTTTGTTTCGTTTGATGCTCTGTGCCTGATCCATGAACTAATGGTCCTCTTGTCCCACAGCTTCCATGATTTTTTTGTGTTAGAGAGTGCACGTCTTACCTTTAGAATCCTTTTAGCATAGATAATAGCATGGATGAGATCAGCTGGGAAAAGATCACAGTGGATTACTGGGAGTGTTAATTTCAATACTTTTAAGGTAGCTGGAAGAATTAAAGATTTCTGCAGCTGTTCTCATGCTACCTTCATATTTTGTTTCTCTGCCCTTTCTCTTTCGTCTTGTCCCCACAATCAATGACAGATATGGGAATCAATAAAATCTGGAGCTGCTCTTGAAAACCCTATGCTCTTGAACAGGTTCCTGCTGCTGACATTCGCAGTGAGTAACAATAGTATCTCTCAGAGCATTGTAGTGGAAATGAAGTAGTAGTTCCTTTTTAGGAGAAATACTGTATTAGTACTAGCATATTAATATTATCAGGATCATTTTCAGACATCTTAAAATGTCTGAAAACATTTTAAAAAAACTAATAAGCCATTGTCATGTACAGATATAAAATATTTTAGGATGTATTCTTTAAAAAATGCTCATGACATCTCATATTCTTTTCTACAAAAGTGTAAGATTATCTGACAGCCTTATAGATATTATTAAAAGTAAAGCAACTGTTTCATGTTTAACAAATTGAATGTTTTAATAAATAATGCTCCAGCTAACAAAAACTAAAGTATTGTACACACATTGTCTGTTTAAATCTTAAATAAAAACATATACAGAGAAGGGAATTCTTCTAGTATTTTCTTATTATTTTCTAAAATCATGACACAGTGCCTTGTGAAGTAAAGAGAGCTATGGTTAGTATGATTGGTATCATCAACCATCAGTCATGATTAGTATTCCAAACCATAATTTACTTTGATTTATATGTTTATTATCTAATTTTACAAAATTTCTTTTCTAGGATTTAAAAAAGTATCATTTCTATTACTGGTTTTGCTACCCTGCTCTCTGCTTCCCCGATGGAATACATATAATTCAGAAACCAGTGTGTCTTGGTGACAGATTCCCATTAAATCAGGTATTCAAAATACTAAATGTTATGAAGTCTGTAGCACTAAGCAGTTTTGTGGGCTGTAAAACATTAATGTTTTTGTTAGCACATACTGAATTAATTTGAGAATCTAATTTTTTTTAAAATCTTCACCTTTATTTCCATGTGGGGTTTTTGTTTACCTCTTTTCTCGTTACTGTATAAAATCACTCAGTTTAACATCACTTCAGCTTTATTCATTTAGATGCAGATGTGGCAAAGAATTCTTGAAGAGGCGGTTATGTTTCTTTTAATTTTTATATACAGCTTATTGAATATATAGCTATGTTTTTGAAACTCATTATATTTTTAAGAAACTTTTTTAAAGGGGCATTCCCTGGAAGAGCGAAGTCATTAGCAATTTCAAAATTGTTAATAAAATGCATGATTGGACAAGAAAAAGAACTGGATAAGGAAGATTGATTTTTTTAGGGGAAAAGTCAAAAATTTTTTGTAGTTTCTTTCATATTACAATGCAAAAGGATGAAAAAAATCAACTTGCCCACATGTGCCTTTTTGATTTGACAGAAGTTAATGCAAAACCTTGACTGGCTTTTTAATGATGTAATAATTAATGAGAAACAGTTTGGGTTTTTCTTGGTGAAAAATGCTTAATTCCCTTCTTCTCAGAAGACCCTCATTTGTTCTGTAGTAATAAATAGTGTAAAAATACCTGTCATGATCCAAAGACGAGTTTCAACTGAACAATTGTCGTGGTTTAGCGCCAGCCAGCAACTAGCACCACGCAGCTGCTTGCTCACTCCCCCTACCCCGATGGGATGGGGGAGAGAATCGGAGGAGTAAGAGTGGGAAAAACTCCTGGGTTGAGATAAGAACAGTTTAATAATTGAAATAAAGTAAACCAGTAATGATAATAATAACAATATAATAATGATAATAATAATATACAAAGCAAGTGATGCACAATGCAATTGCTCACCACCCACCGATCGATACCCAGACAGTTCCTGAGCAGCAATTGCTGACCCCCGGCCAACTCCCTGCAGCTTCTGTACTAAGCATGACATCACATGGTATGGAATAGCCCTTTGGTCAGTTTGGATAAACTGGTCTGGATGTG